CTGTCTACTTAGTGAAATCCTTTTTTTCTATCTTTAATTGAAAGGCAGGCAAATATACCCAGCTCTAATTCCCAATTGCTGGATGGCATATTTTCCCATTATGGCTCTGCTGAATTGAGAGAGGCCACCTTCTCTTACCCTGTTGCCTCACCTTCTAAACTCATGGATTATGTGAAAAACAGCTGTCTTTGCCTTGGCCTGAATCTACACAGTGTTGTTTGGAAGATCCCCCTTGGGTGGAGTGAGCATGGCACTGCATCTTACTTATCTATACTTCCTTGATGTTATATGTGGGGTTCTCAGTCTCCAAAAAATATATGAAGTCTGATTCTTTTTACTACTTTAAAAAATATAGTATATACTATGATGATCATTTCCCTTTTCTATGGCTTATTCAGTCTTGAATTTCTGAGACAATTGGGGTAGCACTAAAATGTCCTATACTTTTCTTAAGTCTAGCAGACATTAAGCAAATAGTTTGAGAAATAGCATTCACTATGACAGTGGTATACTTAGCGAAGAAAAAAGATAGCATATTGTGAGTATTGAATAGTGGAATTGATTCTGAGTTTAACTCCCATAATTGCTTGTAATATTGGCCTTGACCTCTAAAATTATACAGTATGCCTTTTTGAATATCTAGAAAGTATAAACATCTGTATTTAGTGTAGTTATCACAATGATTTTGATATTGGGGGTTTGGAATTGAGATTTTTGATTCAAATTAATTATCTCCTTTTCTTATTTTACTTGTATAAATCTTCATCATTTATGAACAAATTATATTCCTAAAATAGTTTCCAGTAATTTGGTCTAGTGAAACAAATGATAAAAAAGGAAAGCGATGATGGCTTACTAAAAGGTACATTGGAAAGGGAATATAGACCTTTAAAAACTATTGGCATGACACAACCTGTATGAATCAATAACTTCAATAATGTAGGAAAAAAGTTATATAGAAATTTTAATTGATATTTAAAGTAGCTAGAATTTACATAGCATTATTTATCATCTCTATTCATTTTAATCACATGTAACTAATGTATTTTTGCTATTCTACTCTTTTTTATATATTATTAATATTTTAAGTATCAAATACTTGTGGTTAGTTACTTGCTCCATTTTATACTATGAGGTGGTGGTGTTAAGCCTATTTATTCCAAGCCACTATACATGACCAATTTTGTGTGAGTGGTGGTCATCATTTTGAGGACATAGTGCCTTTTTAATTGAACATAAGTATAAAATATTACAATATTTTCATGCTACAATATGGATGTTGTTTTCACTAGCCCCTAGCTCTGTGTTTTAATGTAAATAGTATGCACTCAGTAAATATTATGAATGACTGACCAAACATTTTTATTTCTTCCTTTTCCAACTTAAAAGATAGGCCAATATAGGCTAAAGTAAGTGAGATAGATATTTAATATTTCAGTTATAGGAAAAAAATTGATGCCACACTTTAAAAGTGTTATTTGTTAAATTGATTCAAATTTAGAGTTGATGTGAAAATAGTCATATGGATTCAAACTAGCTTTTGGACCATAAATAAAGCTTAAGAATAAAGTGGCAATGAAGCAAAACTGTAGGAGGTGTTCAGGAGGTTGCAACAAAAGGTGATGTTAGGACTGATGATTTTTAACATTTATCATTTATTAATGATTCAAAAAGAATCTGTGAATAGCACATTGGGGAATGCTGCAGCTTGTGCTAAACTGGGAGGTGTTGCAAGCAACAGAAACTAAGAAATATAATTGACCTAACAAAAACATCATAAATACAGGGAATGTTATTATCATTATAAAGATGTATATGTTAGAAATAATTAAAAATATGGCATTTATATTAAAAAACCACAGAATGATCAAGAAATTGTTGGGAGACAGATGGTGTTTAATATTTCTAAGATGTAGGCTCAGTGGTTTTCACAGTGTCTTACCCTGTTTATTTTTCTTGCCATCTTGGTGGTACGGATGTTTGTCTCAAACCACTCCCTTCATTAGCATCTATCTGCCTCTATTTTTCTTAAAAATTAGCTGATCATAAGGGAAAGAGGATTAGCTTATTAAAAATATTTATCTTTAGATATTTATAGCACAGTGGTTAAGGATACAAACTCTGGAGACAGATGGTATTTGACTTACAGCTCCATCACTTGCTATGTAATCTCAGCCAGGTTATGTAATCTCTCTGTGCCTCAGTTTCCTCATATTTATAATGAGATACTAATATTGACTATAAGAATGGTATAAAGATATGTGAAATGCCTGACACATAGAGGTGCTGTGTGTATTAACTACTAATACTGCTACTATTAATTTCATTGTTACTTTATGTTTGCCTTATAGCTATTAATAAAAATTGAGCATATAGCATTTGTCAAGTGTTTATGTCTAAAGAGAAATAATGTGACAAATACTGATTTTTCAAGGCTTTGAAATAAATCCCTTTTAGTGAGAGGTTCTCCTAGGTACCAAGCCTCTTCAGTGATATTTTAAGTTATATGCACATAGGTACCTCTGGTTGAATTAAAATTCATTTCAGAATTGTGATATTTTAAACATCTAGCTCTCTTTCTCAATTAGATAAAAACTATTACCCAACTGGGTATTGGGTCATGCTATCAGGATAAGTGTCAGAGAGTTGATATCAAATCTAGACCTGGCAGAGTGTAATTTAATGTGCTATCAGTCAGGCAGGCCAGCACCCTGACAACATGGATGTTAGGTTGGTCTCAGAGACAGTATCTTATCCCGATGAACATTAGAAGAAAAAAAAAATGACTTGTCCTATTAAGTTATCACTGATCATAATCCGTTATGATCAATACTAAGTGAAACTGTGGGGTAAAATCAAAACTAAATAATATAGAATGTTTATATACCTTTATCTTATACAGATGCAATCTATGTCCGATAACAGCATAAAAATGATAAAGGCGAATCAAATCTAACATTACTTATGTAGATATGAATGTTTATTTTGTTACTTTAAATAAAACTGAAAGCTTCCTTGGAGTGAATGACACAATGCCAATGGAAGGAAACAGGATTGTGATACTAATGAGAAAAGCTCCATTTTTTTGGCCATCCAGGATCCAAAAAATACAGATCAACTAGTCCAGAAATGTGCAACTGAAGTTGATTAAAGAAATAGTTGGTGGATTTATACACAGAGAGTTTGGTAAGGGACAAGGAGTGAGGAACATGCAAACAGGCCAGGCTGTCTATCCAACAGTGGTGTTGCCCCAGAATCATTGATCTAAGACTTGAAGATAATACCAAAAATAAAACAACATGACTTGATTATCAAGAAATATTTCCTGATTGTAAGAACAATTTTGTGCTGGGAATCATCTTCAGTAAATCAGGACAGCTCCAGGATGTGGGCTGATTAAAAGTAGAGGGGCCCTTCCTCTCCACTCAAACAGAACACAGGTAGAGTCCTCTCTGGGGAAATGGAAAAATGGTAACAAATATTTATCTTAAAGTTGGAAAAGTGGGTGGCCTTTTTCCATTTTTTGGTTTACATTGATTTAGCAAGCAAGAAGTAAAAAGATATAATATAAGATGAAATGGCTGGCCCGATCTGGTGCGGCGGAAATTTAATTTTTATTTGTTTCTTTATTTTGCACGTTACCTCACTCTTCAAAAAATGGGGGATACATTGATGCTTATGTAAGTTCTATAAATTTATAGGATAAAAAAGAAAAATTTTCTATATTTTACCTCAGCCTAATTCTCCTCAAAGATGCTTTTAGAATGATATTCTTTTTGGAAACAAATTGTGATTTTCTTCTTTTAGTAATAAATTTCCACAATTTTAGTTGGGCTACCCAGCAAGAGACTAGATTTTCCAACCTTCTTCAGCTGTGTGTACAGCCATGTAGCTATGTTCTTGCCTTCCTTCAACCCCCTTCCCGCTAATTGGAATTTAGTCAAGATGGTGAGGGCAAGAGCAATCATCTAACACCATGAGTTAGAAACCATATTTTGAAGATGACAGAGCAACAAGAGAGAAGGAAGATGGTCCTTTGGCAAATTTGTGAAGGAGAACTACCATTCTATCCTGCACTTTCACATCAGAGTGTGAGATAAACTTTATCTTTTTAGTTTGGCATTTCATTTACTTAGCCAAAGTAACATCACAACAAACATGCATCTCTAAAATCCAATAAAATCAGTTCTTTCTACTGCAACACAGGGATAACAATATTACTTATCTAGGACTGTTGTTAAGATTGTCAACCTAAATAACAGAAAAGGAGAAGAGGTACTCTCAAACAAAATATTTCTTTGGGAATGAGTATTTCAATGAGAATACAGGGGCATAGTAAACTATGGGTGTATTCAGAGAGGTAAATGAAGATGATGATTTTTGAAAGCAAAAATGACTTAATAAAAGAAAATTACATAAGTTGTTTTGAAACAATTATTCTTGGCTACTAGGACCATTGACAGTGGGAACATAAGTCCAAGATTGGACAGGCAGTTGCTAGGCAGATGTCTTCACAAGTATTTTTAGCGTAAGGTTATGGTGGCTTTCATGCAAGGTTGTGCTTTTTGCAGAGTCTTTTGTCATAGTTCTTGTTATGAGGCATAGATGTGGGAGACCTCTCCCTTCATGTCCATACCCGGCTCCACTTTGTCAGGGTTTGACATAAGTGACTACATTTTGATTTTGACAATTTTCACAAGATTAATGAGATAATCCCTTTAAAATACTCAGCATCATGTCCAATACATATTATTCACTCAATAAATACTGTTATTTATTTATTTGTTTATTTATTTGGTAATGTAAGCTTTGTACCAGCATGAATCTCTGTCTCTTGACTTTCTGTGCATTTACTCTGCTAACTCAAAACTTTGAGTCAGTCCCACCATCTGCCTTTGTGACACTCATAATGTGGAACAAATCAGAAATCCATGGTCCCCAGCCTTAGCTGAGTCTTCTGAGCAGGAGGGCTACATGTCAATTTCTTTCTGTGTTCCCAGGTCTCCCTTCAATGTCACTCCGCAGAACTCCAAGGTATGGCCACTTTGTTTAAGCCACTTGCATCAATGCCCTGTCCTCCAACAGTGAGTATTAAACATGTCATAATAAACCCCTCACTTTCCCATCCCCTTTTACAAACCTAGGTAAATCTGCACTCATTGGAATATTTTTTCATCTCTTTTCAGAGGAGGAAGTATCTTCCTTTCTGCACTGTTGATCACTTCCTGTATCTTGTGGGAAATGACTTCTTCAGTGATTCTATTGTTATCCCTATTTTCAATTTTTTCTATCGTATACATCTTTCACATAGACAGAAAAGCATAAACTCAAGTCTTTCTTCACCTGTGAAAGTCTTTGTCTCTTCTTTTATTCTCTTTCTTCTACCTGTCATTTTTTTTTTTCTCTCTCTCTCCTTTCTGGAGTCAAGCTGTCTTTGTTAATGTCCTGCTCTCTGGTTTCTGCTCCTACCTCTCTGACAACACTCTTCTATCACAGATGCACTAATAGACAAATATGATGTTTCTTTTAAGACCTCTAGGCAGCATAAGACTTGAAAATTTCTTTGTTGAAAATGTCTCTTTTTTGATAACCAATACTTCTGGGTTTTCCCTCCAATCTTTACATTTATTCCAGAATTTTTATTTTATTTCCTCACTCTCTTATACTTTTAAAATATTGATATTTTTTTGGTTTCTGTCCCTGGCCATCTTATCTTTACTTGTTTGCTTGCTTCTTTTTTAATAACATATGTTGTCTTTTTTTGACATCCACTATGATTTTCTTAAACATCATTTTTGTCTTTATGCTTCATTGTGACAGATTAACTTACTGAATACCATTCCAAACCACAATTTAAGAGGCTGTAGCAAAGGGCAGAAAGCTAAAAACTGTTTCCCAGATACCACTGAAACCCTTGGCATTTGCTCTAGCTTCTGCGAAGAAAATTCACCATGTGAGAGTTGCAAGGTAGATGTGAGATAAAAATTTACATCTATCTTCTGTCAAGCAAAGTTACTATACATTTGATAGAGGCTTTGATATTTGGTCCTTAACTTCATGGATGTTCCAAGGCAGGGCAAAGAGCATCTATTTTGAAATGACAAATTTCATTAGAATTGGCATATTTCTGAATCTGATAGATATGCTAGAAGTTTAGTGATTCTAATTTGTTTCCTGATCTTAGCAGATGTAGAAACTTCATTGGTGAGTCGAGTTTTTGATGTCCTTCAGGGAATTGTTTCTAGAAGTTTAGACTATAGGCTCTCCATGTCTGTACTAACTCTGCATGTGCACCATAAACCATAATAGATCATTTTTTGCTTATTCTATCTGGAGTGGATTTTGTGTTCTACAACTAAGAACCTTGATAAGTTAAACTCCTAAATCCATGTCTGTAGCTCAGTCTTGTGCTCTAAACTCTATACATCTTAATTATTACTGACTACTGGGTAACCTACATACCTATAATACCTAAAACACCTATATACTTACAATGGTGGCAAATCCAATAGGCTGAAAACTAAACATATTGTCTCCCCCCTACAAACTTATGCATATATCTAAATTCCCAAATGCTGTTAATGACACCTTTGTTTACGTAGTAACTGAAGGTATAAACCTAGGGGACATCTCTCTCTATCTGACTGCATGCTTCCATCTTGTCACTGTCTAGCTAAGTCTATCTCATTAATTATTCTCATGTTCATCCCCACCTTTCTCATCTTCATTGCTGCTTTAATTCAAGCACTCACTCATTTTGACCTTATTATTGCCATGACTTTCCAAGTTCCCTTTGTCTGTATTCTTGCTCTATTCGCATCTAGCCACCTCAATTTGGACAGTTCCTCTATTGTGTTAAAACTTTGTCATTGTCTATAAAATAAAATACAAAATCCCTAGTATGGGATATAATACCCTCCTTGAACTGGTCCTTGGCAGTCCTCTGAGGTTAATCTTTGACTGCACCTGGTATCTCAAACTCTATCTACTCTGAACTGCTCATGCCCCCCTGAAAACACCAGGATTTTCATGTCTCTGTATTTTTCTTCTTTTGCTTTCCTCTCTCCATCACCCTGTCTAAAGTGGAGATGGAAACTTTAAGGCTTTTGTCATATATTACCAAATGAATTTTCTCAAAATACAGGCATGAAGTTGGCATTCTTTTTAATGTTTGGAGGGAAAAAATGATCCTTGCAACACATAATTACAAGAATTATATTATTTATTTGAGAGTCTCAGAAAGTTTAAATGACTTTCTCAAGGTTGCCCAGATAGAATGACAGGTCTGGGCATCAAATTCAGGTTTTCTTATATAAACCCAATGTACCTCTTTTCACCATAACTGAAATGGAAGACAATTGAACAGGGGAGAGTGTTGAAAATAAATACAAGATGAAGGTAAGGGTCTTGGATTCCACTGGTACAAATACTTCCACGCTTCTCATTTAATAACTATTTTAAGAGCCTTTCCAAATAACAAGTTGAATGATTAGGACATTCAACTTTGGGAGTACAATAGGGTCTTGAAAACTCTTAACGGTTACTTTTTTGAAAATATTCAGAATATATTATTCCTACGTACTACAAACTAGAGAACTGTAGCTATTTCCCCTTTGAAATGAAAGAAAAACTACATAAGGTATGTTTCATTTTCAATTTTTCTTATAATGCCAGAAGATTTTTTAATTCAAGGACAGAGAGACAGATGACTACTATCATATTTTCTTTTGCAGAGATACAGAACTTGAGGGCAAGAGAAGTGAAGGGATTTGTTCAAGGTTATAGAGGTGTGGTGGACAGTAAAATCACACTTCTTCTAGAACACTTGTTTTTTGCCTTGATTTTCTTTTTTTTTTTTTTTTTTAAGTGAAATCAACAGCTTCACATCAGCCACTGATCAGGGACCAGATGGCACAAACTTTCAGTCGCTACCACCTAGGGCTATATTCAAACCAATGAAAGGCCTGTATCTCATTATCGGTCCCCTGAGCTCTCCATTCTCCCACATGGTCCTGTCTTTTTCAAGTAGAAAAGTGACATTATTTTAAAAACTGCCCTTGTTTCAGATAACCAAAAGATTCTGATAATTTAAACAGGTTTGTCCTTTTAGTTTTTTGGATTTTGTATGACATTATTAAACTTGCATTGAATTCTACTGCAACAGAAATTAACAAAACCAAAGCAAATCAATCTAAACTATAAGATAACACCCTAAAAAAATCTCACCTCACTGTCAAGAATTATAGGTGATTGAATAGAATTGCCAAGGTTAGCAAATGAAAATACAGAACACTCAGTTAAATTTGAATTTTAAGTGAACAAATGTTTATTTTTAGTATATATAATAACCCCCAAATTAAATGAAATATATTTATGCTATAAAGTTATTCTCTGTTTATCTGAAATTCAGTTAACTAGAAGTCCTGCATTTTATCTGACAACCTATGAATGATGAATAGGCAGTTCAAATTATTTTGTATAACTGAAAACACGGAGATGTCTAAGTTACTCATAAAAGTGTGTTATGATGTCCACTAAGCCACTTTATACTCTGTGGGAAGCAATCATGTCTTGTAGGCATTATAATAATACTGAAAATCTGTGAAGCATAAAAGGAAAAAAAGTGGCTACTGTTTGGGCTTGAAAATGGAATAATATTATATTTTGCTAGCATGAAGAAAGAATGTAGTAAAATAAAAAGGATTGTGTTTTTTACACTTCTTCTTGTTAGAAATAGAACCCAGGAAATTGTTCTGCAATTGTTTTTCTTTCTCCTAAATAACAAAAACATACTTCTTCTAGTTGGAAACTTTTGGGTAAGTTTTGTTTTCAGCAGTGTCATTCACTGGAAAAACAAACTCAGAATGGCTGTATGCATATTTCCATCATCCTCTCTGCCAGGTAACTCTGAAGGCAGAAATGCAACTCTTGCCTTGAGTGTGGTTTGATGGTGTCTGTAATTAAATGCTAGGACACAGATGAAAGGAAAAGATGTAAACTTGCTTAAGTACAAATTTCATATTTAATGTTTTTCTTTTATCTTGTTTCAAGAGCAATGAAAGAAATGTGACATCTAATATTTTACCATCCTAATATGTGTGTATACGAACTCAGATCATATAGCCATGGTAACAAGGACATTAATAGTCAACATAAAGAGTGTTTTAGAATCTTTTTGGGTGTATGTTCTTATCTTGATACATCTAACATCCATTAACACTGATGAATCTATATCTTAGGCACTGAGGAAAGAGTGTAAATCCTTATAATTCAAGATGTTAAGTATTTCTACCCCTAAGGCTTACCTTTCTAAAAACCAACAAAAGCAAAGTTCAGGGAGCTGACACTATACTCTCAACCCAAGATAATCTAATATAGATGGTGAAAGGATTTTGATTTGTAAACTATACATTCTGATAATTATACTGTGAGTACTGACCTCATGCACTATGCTATAGCTATAGTTGGTATTTTAACACAGCTGTTGTTTGAAAACTGAAGCTACTTTATTGCACTTTCCAGCTTTTTTCAAAGTGTTCAAGGGAGTATCATAAATCTTTCTTGAGTATGATGCCAGCTATTTCATCTTCTGAAAATTTGGGACATTACAATACCTTCGGTAAATACTATTTTTTTCAAAATAGTAGCATGTAATGTTCTCATAAATAAAAAAGTATAATAATAAAGAAAGATATTTCTCAGTGCATTACAGAATAACATTTTATTTTATGGTCATTTATTTATCGCTATTGATTTCTGAATTCATGTTTTAAGCAAGCTTACAACATGTCTGGTTTGTGACTAAAAACAATTGAAATTATGTCTGTAAATTCATGCTAATCTTAAACATTTGCATTGAAAGAGGCTATTTTGCTCCCAACTTTCTGGAATTCTTTTGAGATACATTGATATTTTGGGTGGTGGGCACAGCGAGTGCCAGAGTTGTTGCTTTGTGTCAGAGAGCTGAAGAACCACCAAAGCTGAATCTTCAATGACATGTGGCTGGGATTGAGGAGATCCAAGGTGGCAGGAGTTTCATGCACACTTCAAAATCACGAAAAACAGTTATTGGGAAAATGTCATGTACTCACAGCTCGCTCTACATGCTGCTTCTAATCTTATTTGTACAAGTACAGGCAAAAATCTACTAACAACAGAGATCGTCCCTTTCCCTTTGTTACAATTTAGTATTGATCGCTGTGCAAGAAGGTTGACATGAATCCCAGAATGGGTTTAATTACAAGTATAAACAAAAAAGTAATTGGCAGAATAAGTAAGGAGTTAGTTAGCAGGTTGCTTTTTATAGAAGCACAATATTTCTACTTGAGCAGCAGCAGTAATCAACAAAGAAGAAATTAAATATATATGTATATATATTAGAGTCCGCAGTCCAATTTAAAAGTCATTTCTCCTTTCTTTTAGCCAATTCTCACAAAAGCATTTAAATGCCATCTCTATTATCTTGGTCCATATGTCATCACTGACTCAATGAGTGCCAAACTGGACAATTAAAGTAGAATGAGACATGAAAGAAAGAGAAAGAGTAGGTAGTATGGTTTCCCCATTAAATAGCATACGGAGGTTATTCTAGTATGATATAAAGCATATTATAACTATGAATATCAATGGTTTTGCATTTTTGGCAGCCTTCAAAGAGCCTTAAAAATTTAGCTTAGTGATATCTTCCCTATTGATGGTTTTTATATGATAAATAAAGTCTCAGAAATAAGAATCTGAAACTTCATTTCATGATATGCTTCTGTCCTCATCAGTCGATTATGATTCCATTATCTCACTTTGTTCTGAGGACACAAATTGGTTTCTCAGGTCATGCTGTTATTAATATGATTTTTTAAAAAATAATTGAATTTAACACCAAGGTCAGTTGAGAAAACAGGCAAAATGAAAATGATAATTCTTCGCGTGAAAACCTCAGAAAGTGAAATAGAACACAATAGTGTTCTTTGCTTACTTCAAAATGTCTAAGATATGTTGGACTTATTAATGGCATAATAAAACAAAAGTGGGGTTTGCTGAGGCATTTCTGTTCATGAGGTGTGAATGGTTCATTAGAAAGTACGCTAGGTCGAAAAGAAATAATTTCATTGGTTTTCTTTAGTTTTGGTTTCTTTCAAGCAGTGTTTTCTTCCCATTACAGAATTATTTTATCTAATAAATCAATGCAATATTTATTTGGTATTAAATTAATAATGACCTTCTATCTATTGATAACTAAGTTTCCTTCTTTCTACCATCTTGATTTCTGATTGCTTTGTGTGAAAAGCCTTTTGCTGTGAGTTTAGTCTAAAATAATCTAATTTGAAGTAAATATTAATAAAAGTGATTATAAACTCCATTTTGCAAAACAAGCATAATTCACATAATCCTATATAGAAGACTGGTCTTTTATTTAGTCATTGATTATCAGTCCTAATCACTGTGCTGGAAGCATAGTAGGTACTTACTGAATACTAGTGATTAGCAACTGATAAAAATGATAAGCAGAGAGTATTGCTTGAAATCTTACCCATATTAATATGATTACATGGAAAACAGAGAATAAATAAAATTTTCTAGATACTTTGGCTTATTTATTTATATTGCATATTTTATATTTTTCTTTCGAATGTTTTTGTAAATAAATGTAAAGAAATATGAACAATCATGGTAATATTTTTTTCATAAAAAATAAAAGTAATTATTCTTAAAACTTGCATTTTACCATTTTGGTTGATATTTGTGGGTGCGATTGACAGACTGATTCAAAGAACAAACAACAGAGGTGTTGCGTATTAAGATTTAGGTGCACTCACATAAACGGAACCGAATTACATTTACTCATGTGACTCAAATCAATGAGATGAGACTCTTCCCGTCTGAGCACTAAATGCTATAATGCAACGATTGAAAGCACAGAGGCACTGTCTGATTAGGAATAGAAAGGACTTTTGACAAGAAGTTTCCCCTGAAGCAGACTGGCTTTCACATGACAGAAGAAAATGTAAAGAAGTTTATGTTTCTTTACATTTTAGGAAAACTAAGTTACACAGCAGTGATTTTACTGCGTGTGTGCATTAGAATTTCTGTGAACATGATTGCTTGCTTAGCTTGAAAGACTATATTCACTGGTATACAA